TCTTAAATGTAAGCGTCTAGATCAATCTTCGAGAACATGTAGTTTGTCTTCAATTATGTTGTATTTTTCTGTCAACTTAACCTGTGCATCTTTCAAGTCTTGTAGCTGTTGGTCAACATTTTCCTGTCTATCCTCTATTCTCTGTAATCTCCCCGCCAAAGAGGATAAGTCCATCTTGATAGGGTCGGTTGGGAGTTCCTTTGGTCCACTCTGGAACAATTTGGATTGAATGGTTGGTTTCTTGATGCGTTGGGTGCAATTTACTCTAATCCTACGGCCAGAATAGTGGGCCGAGACTTATGCTCTGAATGGTTTACTATCTCCAATGGAACCCGACAGGGATGTCCCCTCTCACCACTATTATATGTTTTATCAGTTGAACCATTAGCCAATAATATTAGAAACAATAAGGCGATTAAAGGAATGGGGACACAAGAGAATGATGGGAAAATTTGTTGATATGTGGACGACATATTAATTTCTATCACTGAACCGCATATCTCCTTACCCATTTTAATGCAGGAATTTGAAAACTACAGTTTAGTTTCTAACTATAAACTGAACATGAGCAAAACTACTGCTATGGTGCTAAATATTCAAAGTAATATTTTATCTTCTTTGAAAAAAGAATATGATTTTCTTTGGACTAATAAGGAATTTTCCTATTTAGGTCTGATAATTACAACAGATCCATCACGCACTATGGAGACCAATTTTCAAAATTTATTAAAGGAGACTAACTTATTATTGAAAGTTTGCAGAGCTCAAGAAATATCCTAGTGGGGTAGGATTAATACAATCAAATCATACATAATCCCGAAATGGACTTATTTATTTCGTATGCTCCCACTTTCAATTTCTATACATTTATTAACAATTTTATCTGGAAAGGCAAAAAGCCCAGAATTAGTATTACCATGCTCTCTAACAAAGGACATCAGGGGGTATGGGATATCCTTTAATATATCCTTTAATATGCCAAGTATATCAGGCTAATATGCTAGTTCATGCTATCAGATTACAAATTAAGGAAGCCCAAACTCAAATATGGTATAAAATTGAGGCTCATAGAAGTGGAGTTAAAAATTTAGAATCTCTTCTGTTGGGTGATGAAAATAATAATTCTGCAATAAATAAGTTACCAACTAACACTCCACTAATTCTTTGCCAAATTCTTAAAGAATGGAAAATGATCAAGAAAAAATGTAACTTTAATAACAAAATTTTAGGGAAAATTTATATTGCTACTTTGGAACAAATCTTACCGGATATCAATTTAAAAAATTGGTATAAAGATTTCCCTTACTTAATATCGGATATGTATAATAGTCAACAAATGTTACGTTTTGAAGAACTTAAAACATTTGATCTACCACCTAGAGAAGTCTTTAACTTTCTCCGTTTGAAGAGTTTTCTTAAAGACAATTTGTTAACTCTTGATGGTAGAATAGAGAGTTTGATTACTAAAATCTTTACAGGGTGTGAAGCTAAAAATGTGATATCAATTGCTCCAGAATTATTAAGTATATCGGGATCTCAGGCATTACCTAAATCATTAATAAAATGGGAATTGGACTTAGAGATCAATATTTCACCAGATATATGGTATAAATCCTTTCAGAAGGTGGCATACAGATGGTATATGGTTCCATTACGTCTAGTAAAAATCTCCCAGATCAATCAACCTAATTGTTGGCGTTGTTTCCATATTGATGGATCAATACTACATATCTGGTGGTCTTGTCCCAGAATTAAATCTTTATGGAACTTGACATTCAGTCTTATCCATTTATTAGGGGATAAACGATTTGAACAAAAGTCAGAATTGGCTTTATTACATATAATGGGTCCAAACATGAACCAAATATCCGATATGGCCCTTATTCATTGTTTAATGGCAGCTAAGACCCTTATAGCAAGACATTGGCGAAGCATCGAGCTTCATACTAAGGCTCATCTTAAGAACCAATTGATATATCAATTAGAGAGGGAAAAGGAAAATAGAGTATACTTCTATGATGCTATTTCCTACGCCGAGAACATTGGACTTATATGATATATTCTTAGAGAGGATAAATACTTTCTAAAATTAGTGATATAATCCACTCCGACATGTAAAAAGGTTTCCTGGTAATGATAGCAGGATGGAATTAGGGCGAGCAACTATATACCATTGATTAACTATTTGCTTTCTGGGTATTGATGGAGGGATCTCTGATCGGGTATTATCTAGTGATGTGGAATGACCAATATTATTTGTCTTGTTTATGTCATTTGTCTCTTTTGGTGATTGAGTAATTGTGATATATATTATTTATGTATGTAAACGTTACTGTAATATTAAGATATTTTTCTTAGATGCCAAATGGGAGGATTGTGTACTCCCTTCATGGTGTATGTTAAATTTTTTTTATAAATGAATAAAAATAATAAAAAAAAAAATAGATGTGAGGGGGCTGTGGACAGTAATGTCACTTTAATTATACTTTTTATATAGCAAATATGTGATATGCAATGTGATTGTATATATCAGAGCATTATCACTTTTTTTTTATTTAATTTTTTTCTTCAAAATTTTAATGTCTGTTTGGAATATTGCAGGTTTTGCAAATTCACTTTAATTTCATATATATATTCACAATGCTTAAAATTAGCCATATGCGAATTGAGATGGGCAATCCTAAATTGCCTTATAAAATTTAAAACTTTATTTTTATTTGCACGCTGTTCCTTAATCTGCATTTATTTACCTAATTTCGGCAGCATATAGATTTTATAAAAGCAATTATTTTACACATCATGTGTGGTTGTGGTATATCCAAGACTGTGGGAATTTTAAACCTCTTTGTTTTTATAAAAAAATCAGTTCCTGGCTCTGAGACAGCAGGCTGCTGAATGCAGCCTGGTACAGTATGTAAATGCTCTTTAATGCCTAGTCTGTATATTTATTTACAAACAAAATTGATATATTTATATATAAACAACATTGATAGTGAATTTTATTTTATGCTAGAGAAATCCACTTAGATTACATGTGTCTAATCTGATTGTAGTCACTGCAGGTTCAGTGATAGTACCACTGATTTAAGTATGCTCTCCCTTTAGAAATTGGTAGACTTTAATCCTTCTGCTATTGCAATAGGCTAAAGTATGTACCTGAGTAGGCAAAGTCATTATGTGCAGGAACTGTGCAATTTAAATAGTAGAATACGTATATACGTATGCTATTCTAGTGAATTGGGCCAACTTGGCTTAACACATCATTTAGTATTTAAAGCTGTAAATGTATTTAACATTTAATTTAAATAAAACCTTTCAATAATTATGCTTTAACCCCTTAAGGACAGAGCCAAATGTACACGTTGTGAACAAAACAAAATGTAAACAAAACTTGGCATTTGTGCTACATGTCTGTCCAACCGTAATTCACCTCTTTCATAGTAAATGCACCCACCCTTATTATATATCATTTTATTCAGGGGAAACAGGGCTTTCATTTAATATCAAATATTTAGCTATGAAACATAACTTAATGTGAAAAAATGGGAGAAAATAAGATTTTTTTTATTTTATTTAGTTCTACATGACATTTTAATGGTCAATGTCATAATACTGTTTGCTTTTACTGCAATAAAATACACATATTTGTATTCAGTAAAGTCTCACGTGTAAG